AAAAAAAAAGAGCATATCTTCGACATTAATTTCATGCCCAAAGTACAACAAAGTTTTAGACATCAAAAAACTCAATAAAAAAGCCATTTAGTAAAATAATAAACCTCACAGTAATAAAGTTTAACTATTCTAGTTTCTAAAAATAATCTATACTGGTATTAAACTCTAAAAAGTTTTTTAACTAAACACGTCTTCCCTACGCTACCTAAAAAAATATCTAAAAAGCGTGGCACAGTTTTTTAGCACAATATTCGGTTCCGTAAAACGGATATTTCCACGTACCTACAAATAGCAAACACAAATGAGAGGGAAGGGCTTTCTAAGCTTTCTAGGCAGTATCATCGTCAAGTAAATTTTAGTATTACTTAGGAAATAAAACAAGTTACAAATATAACATTAAGTTATCATCTTTATATTTACTAAAAATAAGTTACTTATTTAAGTAACTTATTTACTTAAAGAAAGTAACTTTTCTTAATATTTAAATTTAGGTACGTGACAATCGCGATTTACGGCTCCGAATTTTGTGCTAAAATTCTGTGCCACGTTTTTTGAAGTCCGTTTAGAGTTAGCGTAGTAAAAACATGTTTTGTCAGATAACTTTTTAGAATTTGATATCAACATAGATTATTTTTAAAAACTAGAATAGTTAACCTTTTTTACTGTTTGGTTTGTAATTATAATGACTAGTTTTATGACTGAGTTTATTGATGTCAAAAACTTGGTTGTACTTCTGACATGAAATTAGTGTCGAAGATATGCTGGAAACTTTTTCAATAATATTCTTTCACCTAGATTTTTCATTTATCTATGCACCTACAAAATTTCATGGAATATTTTTTAGTAGCAGGCACCCTATTTTTAGTAGCACTTTTGGTACCTAATTTTTTTTTTCGATGCCGATTTGGAAGGCAGAGGGGTTGCTTAACTATTTTATATTTGATTTAGATAAATTAGTAAAAAATGTCTCAGGGTCAAGAAAACTATGAAGGTTTTACTTGTTATTCATTCAAGTCCATTATTTAAACATTTTCTTTAATTCATTATAAAGTTATGACACTATTTTTAATGATATTAAAAATAGTGTCATAACTTTAAATGAGGAAACAGTTTCCCTTTTTAAAAAAAAAATTTATTCAAAATAGCAATTAAAAACATTTTTACAAAATTTTAATGAAATTAAAAAAGTTAAAATGATTTTTTTAATAAAAGTTGTATGTATTATAAACAAAGGTTTAGCTGATGGCCAGGTTTTCAATAGATTATTTGTTTGAGTTTATACATTTTAGATGTCATTTAATAACCAAAAGTATTATTTATAATACATGTAACTTAAACAAAACTTTAAACAAAAAAATTTTGTCTCTTTAATATTTTCATAGTTATAAACATTTTATTAAAAATCAATATATATAGTATATGAAAATGTTTATATTGCTTTGTAAAAGTAAAGTTTATTTAATTATTGTTTAGATGAAGTTGATCGAGAAAGGCTAAATATAAGTCAGTTTTATTCCTGTTATATGATTTATTATGTTTACTCTTAGTATTTAAGTATTGAGTTTGTTTTTTTTTCTTCTATAGCCAATTTAGAACAAACAATCTGTAAGTTAAGTTTGAATTGTTTAGATGTTTGGTAATTAAAAAATACTTATATGCTAGATTAGTTTTCGTTATTAGTTTTAAAAAAATGTTTCAAATTAAATTTTGCATTTAGGTGAGTTCACTCATCAGCTATGTAAGTTTTGTAAATGTTATTAATTAAGCGCATAACTTATTAATATATCCCAACTTAAAAAATTTTATTAATTCAAGATAAGGGTATTATAAAATTAAAACATACTAATCATTTTTGAACTATTACATACTTTATTTATTTTATCTTTAGCAACCTTTAATTCACTAATGGGTATGAGGTTTATATGTTTATATATATATATATATATATATATATATATATATATATATATATATATATATATATATATATATATATATATATATATATATATATATATATATATATATATATATATATATATATATATATATATATATATATATTTAGAGAGGATCAGTCAGTTATATCCCTATCATATGATTTTATAATTTAGTATTTAGTCAATTACTACTAGCTTCTCTTACTGTGACGGAGACATTTAAAGAGAAACCGGCTAGTGCATAGCTTCACAATATAGATAGTGAGGAATTAATGGGTATGTTTAGTGATGCAAAAGTATGGCTTCCTAATACAACAATTTGCTATATCTTTTGCAAACTAAGATCAAAAAAGAATAAGACTGTTGACTATCTAGACACTCCAGATTTAAGTTTAAGAGAAAAGATTGTTAAATGGTCAATTAATGTAGCACGTAAAAACAGATTTATATATTGACTGAATCGATGCAAAGTAAGAAATGAGATTTGCTAAAGACAAAAAATCAAGTGGCAATGTTAATAAAAGAAAAAATGACTTCATTTACACCATTTCTTACTGGAAAGATGATGAAACTGATATTGAAGCTGCTGACTATTGCATGAAAAAGATTTAGCGTGCTGCTGATGTTGTTTCTGGTGAGTTACAATTTAATGAATTTAAAAACACAAGTGTTGTGACTTGCCTAAATTATATAGCAAGTGTTGTGATTTGCATAAATAATACAGCTTGTGTTGTGACTTGCCTAAAATATATTGCATGTGTTGTGACTTGCATAAATAATACAACAAGTGTTGTGACTTGCCAAAAATCTATTTCAAGTGTTGTGACTTGCATAAATAATACAGCTAGTGTTGTGACTTGCCTAAATTATATAGCAAGTGTTGTAAGTTGTTAAATTTTTTGATAGACGACTCTGGCTTACCTTCATGTGGTGTCTATTGTTGAAAATAATTAAAATATAGTTTCTTTAAAATAATTAAAAATTTTTTTTTTTAATGTTAACATTTTATTTATTATTTATTTTGAAACAGAAATTTGTTTGTTAACCAAACAGAATGGCTAGCTCGTTAACCATACTGTATGGTCCTTACTTCTGTTAATGTAATAATCACATGAAAGAATTTAATATAGGTAGTTGCTATACTTGGTTATAAAGATGACATGTTTTTTACAGCCAATTGACTTTTAGTTATATTTAAAGTAATATATATCTAATTGGTTTGGTTAGAGGCATTCTAATGCCCCTTCCCTTATGATAAATTTGGATAGGCCCTCCCTTATACTCCACTCTCTTATGACTATGTATGCGCCACTAATGTATATTTTAATCTAGTGGAATATATTTTTTACTTTTTTGTTGTTGTACTTTAAATATTCAATCAGATTTTTCAAGAGTTAAAAATGTTTTTGATATTATAGTACTAAAAGATCATCAACATATCTATTATGAGTTTTACATTCATCTCTCTTATTTGGTGGTTGCCTGGTATAAATTTATTTTTTAAATTGTTTCCAGTTTCATAATTTTTTTTTTAATTTATTATTCAAATTTTGAAAACAGTAATTGCATTTTTTTCTTTTTTTTTTTAAGGTTGGGGGAGGAAGGGGGGGTCATACGCCCTTTCCATAATAGAAACACCACTTGTATACGTAAGATCTTGTATAACATAATTTTATATTGTATACTAATTTTACTCATTTTAATAAAGATAAATATTTATAAAATCAAGTCGTTTTTGATACAAGGGTGTATCAAACCATCACCACCACACACACCATTATTGCTAACATACACCTCTCATATATTTTAGTTTAGTATAAATTTAAAACAATTTTTTTGTATATTTATATTGCTTATGTCTTTAAAAAAAAACTTTTTTTCTAAAAAAGTGTTCAGTTTCACACGGGCAAGGTGGTGGTTTGGTGCCCCTTCTGTTTATCGGATACGTCCGACGGTTAGAGTTTAACATAAAGTTGTAGCCCACTCTTACACCTATCTTTTGATGCCAAGATATTTGTTTTTCAATAAGAATTGACAAAGTTATGACAATTTAAGTGAAGAAAAATGTTATTTTGACCACAGTTTCTTCAACAAATCCATATATAGAAAAATCGGTACTTAAACCGTCATAACTTTTGAACCAATTGTTCGATTTTGATAATTTTTTCACCTTTAAAATACTGCAATAATCTTCTTTCTAATGATATATAACAATATAGTATTCAAACAATTTGAAATTTTTACTCACGTACCTATTAAATTAATCTTCTTAACAATATTATTACCTAATAATTTTTTGAAGGGTTTAAAAGGCTTTATTAATTAGAAAAGCACAATAAGGCGTATAAAGGCTCATTCTTATTACAAATAAAATTTATTTATTTAATTAGTCTAATAATATTAGACTAATTATTAATTAGTCTAATTAAGTTTAATTAAATTAAAATTTATAGAATGTAAATAAAATCTATATTGTTAATTACCTTTCCCATTGTTCACTTGAACGACATACACTTCTCCTGCTTTTGGATTGTTGAGCACAGTTGGCCTGGTAGTAATATCACTATTAGTGATAAGTTCAGTAACAGCTTCTATCTTTAAATGATTAAAAGAATTTATAAGTGCTGGAACCGCCATTTTTTAATAAACTAAGATATGCACGTAGAAAGTTGCCGTAAAGGATCTGCTCAGCCAATCTGCTCTGCTCTGCCGATTGTACCTACCCTATTTATAACACGCTGGTTATCAGCCCTCTTTAATAAGTTATGTAAGTATGGAGATAACGCTATAGGATCAAAGGTGCTTACGGATCAAGGGTGCAAGTTCTCCCCTATATATATATATATATATATATATATATATATATATATATATATATATATATATATATATATATATATATATATATATATATATATATATATATATATATATATTTTATATATATATATATATATATATATATATATATATATATAAATATATAAATATATATATATATATATATATATATATATATATATTATATATATATATATATATATATCATTCATTGTTCAGGTGAGACACTCTCAGAGTATCAATAGACCACTACTACAAGCTTGGATTATTGCTGAAAAGAGTGGAAACATTTTAGCTGCACACTGCAACTGTATGGCAAGTTTAGCTAAAACATGTACTCATGTCAGCGCCACGCTTTTTGCAATAGATGCTTCTGTGAGCTTAGAGAATAGCCGAACTGTTACCGAAGAAGCGGCATACTGGAGGCTACCATCAAATGTGAAGGAAGTAAAATATTCTAGACTAAAAAACATTGATTTTACATCGGCAACAACAACGAAAAGGAATCTTGATAATATGTTATCCCAGACACCTGTTAGACAATATTATTTGCAGCCTCTTCCTTTTGTAGAACCTCCTAACGCTACGGAAATGAACAACCTTTTTCAAAAATTGCATGACACTGGCGCTAAACCAAGTATACTGTCAATTGTACCTAACTTTGTTGAATCATACGTTTCTAGGTTTTTATCTTCCTTGCACCCCTGGGTTTGTGAAGGTCTACGAAAAGACCAAGACACATCAGCAACACTTGAGGAAATAGATGAGCTGTGTACTCAAATTCTAAATAGTGACACTCTGCTCACAACTAAGGAAGCGTGTCAACTTGTAGAAGAGCAGACAAGAAGTCAAGCTACGAGCCGTGTGTGGTTTAGATTCCGCGCAGGCAGAATAACTTCTTCAAATATGAAGAAAGCATGCATTACTTCGCCCTTAAAACCATCAATAAGCACTGTAAAATCTATATGTTATCCTTCATTACTTAAGTTTAAAACAGCCGCAACAGACTGGCGGTGTCAGCACGAAACATGTGCTCTGGACTGCTATACTAACTTAATCAAAGATAAGCACACTGGATTAAAAATTTATAAAAGTGGCCTACATATTGACCACAACAACTCATATTTAGGAGCAACTCCAGATTCATTGGTATCTTGTAATTGCTGTGGTAAAAGAGTATTAGAAATAAAATGCCCATTTTGTCATCGAGATATAGATATTCAGGGTTGCGTAGACAAAAAGTCATCACTGGAGAAAGTTTATGGCAAACTGCATTTGAAAAAATCTCATGCACATTATTACCAGGTTCAAACACAAATGTTTATGTGTAAAGTAAAGTTTTGCGATTACTTTGTTTGGACCAAAGAAAGTTCTCACTTGGAAAGAATATACCCTGATGAGGTTTAATTTAATTTATAAATTTTATTTTATGTTTTTATTTATACTTTTAAATAAATGAGACTGATTTAAAGGTCTTCTGGAATGAAATTTTGCTTAAATCGCAACTATTCTTTGAAAAGGCGATTCTACCAGAAATAGTCGGAGCCATTCCTTCAAGAGCACAACCTTCCTTACTCGAAAAAATGAATACTACTACATTAGAAGTTGAAGCGGCTTTTCCTAATACATCAGTAGTTGAACCAGATATTTTCAGTACGTCAGTCGGTGAAGCAACTATTTCTAGTACATTAGTAGTTAAAGATGCGATTTCTACTACATCAATGGGTGTAGCCTCTATTTCCGCTTCAATGGACTCAGATTGCAACATCGAATTATTCTGTTTATGTCAAACGCCTAACGATGATTAAAAAATTAACTCTTCACCTAAGGGAGCATGGTGTTGCCCCGAGTGTCGTATTTTGCTACAGTATAAAAAGACATTTATGTCCGCTAAAAGTAAGTCAATCATAAAAGATTAAACAAACATAAAAAAATATTTATATTTTTATGTCATCCTTGTTATATTTTAAACAATATAATATAGTTTACTAACATATTTAAATGGTTTTTTTATAATTTCCGTATTAATCAAAAGGTACAATTTATTTGCAACAATTGGTAAGTGCGCAACTCACCGTAACAATTTTGTCCACAGTTGTTATATTGTCTGCCTCGCACATTAAAAAGTAAACTGGAAAAATTTCCTTTAAAATAGTGTATTTGTTTCTTGCTAGTCCAATCACTCTCTCTACATTGACCCTCAAATGAGCTATTTTTCTAGTATTTTCGACTTCAACAGCTGATAGCTGCTTTTTTCCTCTTGTAAAGACTAGAATTTTAACCTCAGCACACATAAGACCAACAGAATCAGCGATGTTAAAACCTCGGTCAGCAAGCACTACATCCCCACGGTTGAGTTTCTCAAGGAACCCACATTATTCTGTAATATGTTTATCACTAGCTCTCCCACCCCATCCCTGGGAAATGTAAAAAATAACGCCTTGTGGAACAATGCCAATTAAAGATTTTACAGTGTTATGACTTTTATAGTTGCTCCATGTCTGTGCTCTGGCCATAAGATTTGAGGGTTTTTCAATAAAAATTCCAAAACAGTCTATGATGACAGCTATCTAAAGTCCAAAGTGTTGTCTAAACAATAATGGCATGGATTGTTGTAACTCTTTTCTTTCTGGTTAGAAAATTAGAGGTTTCATACGAACATATAATATGTGCAAAATTTTCTTAAAAGTTTTTGACGCAACGGAATAGGAAATGTCAAACCGAAATGCTTAGTCTTGTAATGGGGTTCCGAGACGCAGCTTCATTAGCACAAGAATCACTTTTTGAAACTTAGATAGTCTCGAACGCGCTGTTAATGAAATATATGCTTCGACATGCTGAAACACCATCATCAATCGTAAGGAATTCGATTTCATTACTATGCTTTTTATTAACAAGACCTTTAAACAAAAAAGTGCATATTTTAGGCTTTGCAATTGGATCGCTGATTAAAATCTCGCTAGTTGTTTCACTGGTATTGTGGACGACCATTTCGTTGAAAGCGTTACTTTATTTACTTTAAATTAATATAAAATATTTTTGAAACTGATTGTGTTATTTTTTAAAATAACAATGTAATGCTTTACTATAGATACGCAATGCCATTTTAGTCCACTAACCTGTAAAGCACGTACCTTGAAATTTTTGAAGTTTTGGGGAGAGTGGAGGTGTCTGTCTCTTTATCTTGTGGTTGCCTTTCTGATGCAGACAACAATAAACTAGGAACCCAATCTGGGTTGGTGACGTCATACAATGCCGCTGGTTTACCTATAAATAATAAATATAGCGTAAATATTAAAAACATATACATTTTACATATATAGATCTTTACAAGTAACATAATATGGCAAAATTCTATCAATTTCATACCTGAATTAAAGTGAGCAGAGCATACTTTCGAGAATTTGGTTGGTTCTTTTTGTCTATTAACTGCTGCAATCCATTCACAGCGCCTCTTAGCTGACAACTCTAGGGTTTTATTATCTTGATGCCTAATAATAGCGGGGAAGCTATGGAAAGACATCTTGCCACGGTCTGCTCTACTTGAGCAACCATTGACAAAACAAGTACTTAGCATAGTTTTGCTAACCGGGATAAAAAAATTTCACCTATCAAATTCGAATTAGAGAAGTTGTATTTTATATAGTTACCAATTCTAAAAAAAGTTGTAATGTATATTATTTTAAACGTGCTAGTCCAGCATTTTTTTGTCAATTTGAGCATATTTACCCAGCGGGCACGGCACCGTCCATATGACGTCGAAAGGACGTTTTTTTAGGACGTCCAGAACTGGTTCTAAATGGCAACGCCAGATGACGTCTTTTTAAGACGTAATTAAGACGTCTTTTTAGGAAGGAATAAAGACGTATTTTGAGACGTCTAAAAGACGTGAATTTAGGACGTTCAGAACTAGTGCTAAATGGAAACGCCGAATAACGCCTTTAAATAACCTAATTTAGACGTTCTTATTTCGACGTCTAAAATACGTGTTCTAACATGGCTTTACTTAAACGTAAGGTTCAAATTTATGTTTTCACAGAATAAGAAAAAAAAAAAAAAATCATTTAATTTTTTAATAATATAATTGTGCTGAGTTTTATAAATTACAACTTCTTCTTTTTTTTTTGCTTTTTGAATTTTCTCAAAACGACTAAAAATCTGGCCAGCTTTTATTCTCTTTTATTCAAAATTTTATAAATTAAACTTCTTCTTCCACTTGTTAATTTCCAAGAATCGAATTTTCGAACAGTTAACGTCATTCACCTTCTTTTCGATCAGATGCACTCTTTGAAATATTGCCACCAGCATTTAAAAGTTTTTTTTGCTGTAGGAATCAGGGAAGCAGTCTTAACCTTAAAAAAATATTGTTAAAATAAGTATGTAAAAATAAAGGGGAAAGAAATAAATAACACACACACACATATATATAATTATTATTTTATAAACATAACATCAAACATCAAAAAATACAAATTTCTCAACACTAAATTTATTTTTTTAAAGAAATTTTTTACTGGATTGTTGTGACCAGCGTATATATTTATGTATATCAAGTATGCAATATAATTGCGGTATTAAAAATGCTCTTTTTATAGTAAAATTATACTTACTTTGAAAGCATGCCCTTCTAAAATGCACTGCATCATGAGCCACCAACATTTAATAACTTCTATTTCTAAATTCAAAAGATAACACTAGTGTAATTGATATGGGACAATTTAGTGTAAGTTATATTGGGCATAGGAGCAATTCATTAGTGTTTTATTCAATTCAAAAATTTTGTGTAAATTATGTTTATTTGTAAAGCGAGCATTATGTATATAATTACAGATCAAAATTTTTTATGTAATTTACCTTTATAAAAAAAAACTAAACATTTAACCATAATAAAAAATATACTACTTTTTGCAACATTAGTATCGAGAAATGATTGTTCACATTTAAGAAACTTGGCGATAGAATCATGAGTAAAGATCAAAACTATTCTCAACTTTAAACGTTTTTTATATTTCATTATTCTTAAGATAAGTAAGTAAATGAATTAAAGACTATATATTAGTTAATTAAAAAACAATATGCTATTATAATTTATATATATATAAATTATAATAGAAAAAATATATATTACATCTTCGCTTCCAACAAGGCTGCGAACAACCACTATAAGAGTTTGGAAGTTATTGGAAGAGAAAAGATTAAGTTCGTAGAGCAAGCAATGTTTATATACAATGAATATAAACATTATAATATTCATTTCGAAATATTTTTAACTTATTTATCAAAATTATCATAAAAAAACATTAGAAATGCATTTTTTTCATTTTTTTTTAAAAAACCCAATTTTTTATGTAATAAAACTAAAAAAAAAAAAATATTTTAATAGGTCCCTAATATTTTCGAAAAACTTTTTTTTCGAAAATATTAGGGACCTATTAAATATTCGAGGGTCTTGAGGGACCCCTTAAAATATTTTTTATTCAAAAAAAATTTAAACCTAGTGTTTTTGTATTAGATAGAACACATTTAGGGGGTGAGAGCAGATTATTTTCAAAAATGTTGTTTTTTGGGACACCCTATTATATATATATATATATATATATATATATATATATATATATATATATATATATATATATATATATATATATATATATATATATATATATATATATATATATATATATATACAACCCTTGGAATTAGGGTTGGCATGCAGCAATGCCAACCTAAAAGTGTTTGAGGTCGACAAATAATGCTGACCTTATTTCTATGTTTAATGGTAAGACTTTTGAATCACTTTTTTTGTCCTTTTTTGATTGATGTCGACAAATTATTGCCAAACTTTTTTTTCTTAATTCCAAGGGTTGTGTGTGTGTGTGTGTTTATATATATATATATATATCTATATATATATATATATATATATATATATATATATATATATATATATATATATAATATATATATATATATATATATATATATATATATATATATATATATACACACAATGGAAATATAAGTTTGCAATCAATCAAAGGACTATATAATTTCTTTATTAATAAGTATAATCCATTTACTTTAATAAAATTTCCTAGATGATAAAAAAAAAAAGAGGAGAAATTAAGGAGTGTTTCTCATCGGTTACTTAGTAAATTGCCAATAACATTCCAACACGTGATATAGTGATTATTCTTATGTTAGGCACTTTTGGCTGCTGCCACTAATAGGCCATTAAGTAAAGGATGACCAAAACTGCAATGACCTATATAGCTCCACTGAAACTCTGATTTAAATGTTTTTGCTGTGTTATATATTTTTTTACTAAATACTAAAACTAAAACCATAAATTTTTAAAATATTATTATAAAAAATCATTTCAAAAAAATATTAAATCAATTCCATCTTTAAATATATTTTTCTTATTCTTATTCAACTTGGATAAGTTACTAAAATATAAATTTTATCAAATAATAAATATAAATATTGATTTTAATTAAAATTATTCATATCTAGAAGATAGATTTAAATAATTTTTCTCTTTTATCATTCTTTAAAAGTTCACTTTTAAAGAATGATAAAAGAGAAAAATTATTTAAATCTATCTTCTAAAGGATTATCTACTTTTAGATAATCAGATAATAAAAGAGTAGGATAAGTCACTAAAAAATGTCTAATTAAAAAAATTAAACAAGTAATTAACAGTTATATAAGAGACAGGTGGGTAGAAAATTTCCTTTAGAGTAAAGGAAATTTTCTACCCTCCTGTCTCATATATCTGTTACGACTGGTTTAATTTTTGCAATTAGTCTTATTTTTTAGTCAAAACTTTTGAACTTCACTAATAATTAATTAAGTTAAGTAATTGGTTATTAGCTAAGTTCCAAAACTTGATATTGTAATACTTCAAAAAGTTCATTAACTAATGTACTGGTCCAATTATTTCGAATAGAACAATCTAAAAGTTGTTAATTAAAGATATTGAAT